AGCCCGGCCCGGCTCGCGCCCGGCGAGGACGGGACCGGGAGCCGGCCCACACAACCATATATCCAGTTTTTCCCGGACATGTCCTCTTTTTTGGCCCCCACGTCCTTGTGTCCAAGCAGGTTTTTAAAACTGGAGCAAATGTCCAGGTTTTCACTTTGCCTCTACTTTCCCAGGCACTAGCAGCTTGGCTGCTTGGGGCTGGGAGCAATGGGGAAGGTGATTGACTGTCGGGTGTCACGTGCTCTGTGTGCGGGCCCCGGCAAGCTGCAAGGTAAGAGACACAGAGCATGTGTGTGCGTGCACACACACAAGCACGCACACGGGAGCTGTGTGGTCAGCAGGGCTGGGGGGAGGGCAGGGTGCTTTGGGTCGGGTGTGAGGGGCACCAGCAGGGGTGGGGTGGGGGGAGGCAGGGGCTTAGGAGTGAGGGACAGAGGAAAGTTATGGGTATATCACTGCCCCCACATCATATACCCTTCCCCACTCTTCCTATCCCCTCTGCTCCCCACCACCACAAGTGTCCTCCTTTTTGATACTGGAAATACAGTAACCCTACAGTTTGCCAACATAGCTTTCATGTCAGGGCACCACTCCAGAATTTTATTTTAGTGCCAGTCCTGGCTCAGGTTAAGTCTTGGGACTGGCCTAACAGAGGCTGGCATGGGTCAGGAACAAAATGAATTTGGAGAGCTCTGTGACGGTATTTGACTGTACAGTCTGATTTCACACAACACCTGCAACCACACTCAATTTCTAGAATGATGTTTCAGAACTCTTATGTCCAACTTGATGTCCAAAACTTGTGGCTGTATTTTCCATTGCCTCAATCCAATTCCACTTTGATGACTTGATTTCAACTTGCAAGCAAAGTATGCTGGGTCAGAAGGGCTGGCAATCTGACCCTCTTCTCAGGCAACTGTGGTTGCTCCCCACTGCGTAAAAAATCTCTCTGATCCAAAATAAAGGCCTATCTTTCCTCAGGAAGAGTCAAGAAAAGAGTCAGTAGAGATTGATACCTAGGCTGCATACACTAATTAAAATAATCCAGGATGCTTCTCCCAGGTTTGTTTTTTTG